CAATGCCAATGTCGCCCCCTTTACCCATATTGTGCGAGGCTAACCAACAGATCATTCATTATATTGATCTTTACACGGTCACGGAGGTATCATCCGTGATAGTAAGGTTCAGTTTGATACAAAGAAATTCTCAATATGGAGATGAAATTAGAAACAAATTCATGATGTAAGTTTGTTTGGTATTATAAATTTGGAATTCTTTAGAATATCAATTCTAGCAAAATAGCTAAAATCTAATTCCATCCAGGGCATGATGGAATCAATTCAAAATAAACACTTTTACCCTAGTCATCATTAATCTCCTTCGCTCTTATCCATCATCAATCCCTCCTCCATCTTCTCCCACTTTCAACTTCTCTTATCACTTGTATTGACTTTTTCTAAACTTGTCAGATTTCATTACTGGCAATGACCAACACCCATTATGAAAGATCTTTGATGATTTATGAGCTTCTCACAATCATCGTAGGTTTGATTATAGATCTAGACAGAAAATCTTGAATATGATGGTAGCTTGTGGTGTGGGTTGAAGGAAATTTGGCTGGAGGTGTGTTACAATAGGTGATTGTAAGAAAATTTGGCCAAAGGTGTGCTATAACAGATTTGATCATTACCAATGGGGTTGCTAGGATAAAAATGAGTTTCTTTTTAATTTTGAAAAGGATACTTTGCTATTCTTTATTTTAAGTACATATATTTTATTAAAATTATATTAAGATTCCATCTTAATACCAAACAAATTTTTAAAACTTCATTCTTTTTCAAATTTAATTTTAATTTTATTAAAAATACTTCTATCATACCAAATTAAGTCTAAATTGATTGTCTAAAATGTTTGGTTTGGTTGGATGCTTTTTTGACCGTCTTCCTCCATTTATTTTAGGCCGAACATCCTCCTCCATTTTAATAGAAAAGTAGTTACACCATTTTGAATTTATTATCATATCATTCTTGTCATTAACTCCGCCTATGTTTATAGCCGGTCCCAAGCCCGGGTAAAGGAGGAGGGTTGTGTTAGGCCATCAACAGCCAATGTAAAAATTTGTTGAATCTATCATGAACATGGACAATAGACGTTATAATGTTAATGCTAGGTCGTTGCCCGTAAGTAACGCGCTGCATGGCTCGAGTACAGTGATAAATGAGTTAGAGCCGCTGCATCGGCGCCCGGATGTAGTGTTAAATGAGCAAGGGCTACCGCGTCATTCTGGACGCACGCGGCTAAAGAAGTTAGTCCATAAGAGCAAAATTAGATTTGGTACTTGGAATGTTGGGACATTAAATTGTAAATCTGTAGAGGTTGTAGGGGTTATGATTCAAAGGAAAATCAATATCCTTTGCTTGCAAGAAACAAAATGGCGTGGAGAAGAAGCTAAGGATATTCAAGGTTTCAAACTTTGGTATACAGGAAAAGTAAGTGCACGCAATGGAGTAGGCATTATTATAGATAAGGAGTGGAAGAAGAACGTTGTAGAAGTTAGCAGAATTGGAGACAGAATTATTTCTTTAAAAATGATAATTGGACGTGAGACTGTTAATATTGTTAGCACTTATGCGCCGCAAGTCGGGACAGAAGCCAGTCTTAAGGAATTATTTTGGGAGGATCTGGAGGGGTTGATTCGACACATACCACAGAGTGAAAAGATTTTTATTGGAGGAGACTTTAATGGGCATGTCGGGAGGGAAGCTGGTCAGTATGCGAGGGTGCATGGTGGTTTTGGTTTTGGAGAGCTAAACAATGAAGGGCAAACTCTTCTTGATTTCTCATTGGCGTATGATTTTAAGATTGCCAACACTTGTTTCAAGAAGAGAGATGAGCATCTCATCACCTACAAAAGTGGAGCCTCAAGGTCGCAGATTGATTTTCTTTTGGTTAGGAACACTGATAGAAAACTTTGTAAAAATTGTAAGGTGATCCCTGGAGATGCTGTAACGACACAACATAGGGTCCTAGTCCTTGATGTGTGTATTATGAGTAAAATCCAAAAACGTCGACAAGTAGTAACACCAAGGATTAGGTGGTGGCAATTAAAAGGTGAGAAGCAAGATATTTTCAAGCGAAATCTTTTGGATAAAGGAATTTAGGATTCTCAGGGAAGTGCTAACATCATATGGGAGGATATGGCTAAAAAGATACGGGAGGTTGCAAAAGTAGTTTTGGGAGAATCGAAAGGTTCTGGTCCGAGAGATAAGGAGTCTTGGTGGTAGAATAATAGTGTACAGGACAAAATCAAGTATAAGAAGAACTGTTTTAAAGCCATACATTTGTGTAACAATGAGGAAAATTGGGAGAGGTACCGTATGGCTAAGAAGGAAACTAAGAGAGCTGTGGGTGAAGCTCATTCTAAAGCTTTTGAAGAATTTTATAAGAACCTTGAGACGAAGGAAGGAGAGAAAAATATTTATAAGATTGCCAAGAGTAGGGAAAGAAAATCAAGAGATCTAGAACAAGTAAGGTGTATTAAGGATGAAGAGGGAAGAATTTTAGTTACAGATGATGAAATTAAAAATAGATGGGAGACTTATTTTTCTAAACTTTTCAATGATGGAGAGGATTCATCTAGTAACTTGGAGGATTTAGTAACTGGTGAAGGAGAACAAAATTTGTCATTCTATCGAAAAATACGTGATAAGGAGGTAAAGGAAGCTCTTAAGAAAATGGCAAATGGTAGAGCTAACGGACCTGATTGTATATCTATCGAAGCGTGGAAATGTTTAGGTGAAGAAGGGGTGAGATGGTTAACTAAGTTATTTAATGTGATTTTACGGTCCAAGAAAATGCCTGATGAGTGGAGGAGAAGTACATTAATTCCTATTTATAAAAATAAAGGAGATATTCAGAATTGTACTAACTATAGAGGAATTAAACTCATGAGCCACACAATGAAATTGTGGGAGAAAGTAATTGAGCACAGGTTGAGATTGGAGACAAGTATTTCTGAGAATCAATTTGGTTTTATGCCAGGTAGATCAACTACAGAGGCGATTTATCTACTAAGGGGATTAATGAAAAAGTATCGTTGTAAAGATAAAGATCTACACATGGTTTTTATTGATTTGGAAAAAGCTTATGACCGTATACCAAGAGAAGTGCTTTGGAAAGCGTTGGAAAAAAAGAGAGTACGGATTGCTTATATTAAAGCCATACAAGATATGTATGAGGGGGTAAAAACTAGTATAAGAACGCCTAGTGGTCAAACAAAGGATTTTCCTATAAAGATTGGGCTACATCAGGGATCATCTCTGAGTCCTTATTTGTTCAACTTGATTTTAAATGTTTTGACGGAACATATTCAAGAGGAAATCCCGAAATGTATGCTCTTCGTGGATGATATAGTTCTTATAGCAGAGACAAGAGAAGAGGTTAATTGCAAACTTGAGTTATGGAGGAGGACATTGGAGTCGAAAGGTTTTTGTCTGAGTAGAAGTAAGACGGAATATTTATATTGTAAATTTGATAAAGGACTATTCGAAAATAATTTGGAAGTGAAATTGGGAGATCAAATTATACTTCAAGTGGAAAAGTTTAGATATTTGGGAGCCATTGTCCAAAATGATGGCGAAATCAGTGGAGATATTTCACATAGAATTCAAGCTGGGTGGTTTAATTGGAGAAAAGCTAAAGGAGTTATTTGTGACCGTAAGGTGTCTAATAAACTTAAAGGAAAGTTTTATCGTACTGCTATCAGACCGGCAATGTTATATAGTAGTGAATGTTGGGCTCTAACGGGACAGCAAGAGCATAAAGTTGGAGTAGCAGAGATGAGAATGTTACGATGGATGTGCGGACATACATGTAAAGATAAAATTCGAAATGAGCACATACGTGAAAAAGTGAGGGTGGCACCTATTGAGGAAAAAATGGTAGAAAATCGGTTGAGATGGTTTGGGCATGTACAAAGAAGATCAAGGGAGGCACCAGTGAGAAGAGTGGAACATATAACTTTGAGTCCGATTAAGAGAGGTAGAGGAAGGCTTAAGAGAACACTCTTGGAAGTTGTTGAACGTGATCTCTTAATTAATAATATTTCTAAAAGCTTAATAAATGATAGAGCACAATGGCGTCTTGCAATCCATGTAGCCGACCCCACCTAGTGGGATAAAGGCTTGTTGTTGTTGTTGTTGTTGTATCATTCTTGTCATTACATGGGGACGTTGTGCCCCTTTATTGGTCTTTGAGATGCTCCGCTAAAATTGAGCACATAGGCTAGGGGTTACTCTTGGAGAACATGAAGGCAATATATTGCGTTTTTTATTGCCTACATATATCTTCATATTAAAAACAATCCTATTTGAGATATGATATTAAATAGGCACCTCTCTTAATAAAATTTGAAATTCAATTTACCATATTATGAGAGATTAGCTCATTGTACTAGATTCAATTTTAATTGACGGCAACACATTATGTTATTTAAATATCGCTACTCCTCATCAGTTATTGGGCTTTAACATTCTTGAGTCAAATATTTGCTCTTCCTTGCAAGGCCAAGATCTGTCTATAATTTTTTAATCTGGAAAATAATTGATATGATTTATTTAAATTTTAAGTTAAAAATAGCTTCACTGTAGAAATTGTAATTCAAGAAATTGGACCTTAGGTTTTAGCTCCAGCACACTGGGAGGGGGGCCAAGAAGCTCCAGAACAATGAACCTGGAATAGATCATTTAAAAAAAAAATCCAAAAATATTCTTTTTGGTAAAAATTGGAAAATCATTACCCAATCAAAATGTTACAACACCATACGGGTCTAACTTCTTTAATCATCTTCTACCTCTTGGCAAAAAGAGGAAGAATGTCCATCGATACAAAAAATTCCATAAAAATGTCTTTAAAAAATTTTGCATCAAAATTTGAGCTCAAGAACAACTTAATCTTGATCGTTGTCCCAACGATAAAGGGTATTGCATACCATTGCTCACAAGAAATTTCATTTCTAGTTGCATCACTATCACTATCATTGTCACCATTACGTCTATGACATAAATATAGTATCATGTACATAAATCAAAAATTATTTTCATCTTATCATTGAGCTTTGAGCATTGAGCACATAAGAATACGGTCATGCCACTTGACAAAGTTATAAATCCATCAAAAAAAAAAATTGTCTGGATAATATATATAAATACCATCCAGGCAATATCACAATCTGTTTCATAAAACCCACCAACATATGGTTCACCATGCCATACTTACTGAAAATATAAAAAGATACAACAGGATATTTCATCCTTTTATTAAGAATCACCATTCTGAAACATCAAGGTGAAAAACCAGAGACGCTCTTCATAAGTGCACTGCTTGGCTTCGCATATTATATTTATAGCTATAACACGTTCATCGAGACCTTGGTATTGCACGTAGAGGAAGACCCTTGTCTACATGAAGTGTCAACATGACATGGTAGGTCACATTCCTCGTTTCATCGTCCAATTTGAATCTGAAAAACCTAAGAAGAGCCATTGATACTATTTTCATCTGTCTGTAAGCGAAGTCCTTCCCCAAGCACATTCGAGGTCCAGCCTGCAAATGATCATAGCATTAGCAATTATTGGTGTGCCAGAATGAGTGAAAATTTTCAGCAATGAAGAAAATGGAAGAAGAAAAAATGATACAAACATGGAAAGAAATAAACTTGAATGGAGATTCAGGTTTGAAAACCCCGTCTTTGAGCCATCGTTCGGGGCAAAATTCCTCAGCATCCTCGCCCCAGATGTATGGCATGCGACCCATAGCATAGGACATGTAGTACACTCCATCACCCTTTTTCACAGCATAGCCATCAGGGAGGACGTCATCTTCTTCTGCCGTCCTCCCATCCTTGAGTTAAAATCAAACATAAGTAGTTAGATACGGCACAATGCACATCATACAAATTACAAAAGCAAGTTTGTATCACAATGCTGTTTAAACAAAGTATGATCACAAGTCAGGTTTACACAGCAATAGGAATGTGTGTTGGGCCTCAGGATCAAATTTTTTAGAAGTTAACAAAACTATGGCCCGTAGCATACAGCCCATTATCAGCCTTCATAATGACCTGTGAGAAGGGGGCATACATGAAAGTCAAGTACCAGGGAGCCCATCATGAAATATAGGATTGTGATTTTTGATCAATTGCTAACTGGCTTGCTCATCAGGCACGCCAGGGAAATTTCAGTGCTAGGATCTTGAATGACCCACCAATTGGTTGTAGAGATCTCCTCTCTAAGTATGGCAATTTGATTTACAGCTTAATGTCACAGGACCAGTCTTTCGACCTATGTGACACTTAGACCTTTATTGAAAGATGCTAAGTAAACCTAATTTATTGAGAAGGAGGACAGTTGGCAAAATTAAGGGATGAAAATCTTGAAAGCAAAGAATAAATGTGAGAGCTTAGAGAATGTGAGAGTCGTATTGCTTCAAGAACTCAAGGATCTCAAGGATGATCTTAAAGATGGTTACAAATGAGGAGAGTGGAGATATTTATAGACTTTCCCTTGTATCTAGAATGTGCCCACTTCCTTAATGGATGGTAGAGATTAATTTGATCCTACGGTTATCGTTGTCTCACTAGAATTCTTTACAGAATATTTTACAGCAAATATCTAGACATTTATAAGGAGTTCTCTAGAATCTTTCCGAGGCATTTAAGCTAGAGCTAGCTAGATTTCTCTAGAGTTGTCTTGCACACTCGAGCTTTTTCAAGGTTATTTAAGAGTCTTCTGGATCATCCTAGCCTCTTAAAAATTCATGACATGTGACATTCTCCCCCACTTAATTTCATGATGCCCTTGTCACACCTTCCTCCTTGTAATGTTGAAATTCGTCGGTGAATTGTTACAAGAGCTCTTCACATTCCCAACTTACTTAACTAAGTACTCAATATAGTTGGGAACTCCTCTTTTTCAAATTACCTTGTCAGCAAGGATTTCTTCTATTTCCTTATCGTTCTCAGTGACAACTACTGTGGGTGCTCTCTTGGAGATACTTTGAGATGGAGCCTCTTTATAATCACAACATTTTTTCAAGAGACTAACATGAATGACAAAATGAATCTTAAGCTTAGGAGGAAGTTCTACCTAGTATGCAACCCTTCTCACACATTTGACAATGGAAAAAAGGTCCTTTATATTTTTTAACTAAGCCTTTGTGCATCTTGTGCAGAGACTTAAATTGATTTCGTAGTAACTTCACCATTACCAAGTCTTCAACTTGAAATTTAGTGGGACACCATTTTTTGTCCACCCACTTCTTCATCCTTTAGGAGGCTTTATCCAAGCTCACTCGAGTGATGTCTACTTCTTGCCATTCCTTGGCAAACTTATATGTGGTTGGATTATCTCCCTTATATGAAGTGGCAAGTGCACTAGAGGTTAGAGGTTGTTGTTCGGTAATTATTTCAAATGGGCTCTTACCTATCCACTCCCTTTGTTGCAAGTTATAAAAAAATTGAGCTACATTGAGCAATATAACCCAATCTCGTTAATGGGTGCTCACATAATGTCAAAGGTAAAGCTCTAGCAAAGCGTTTATCTGCTTTGTCTGTTTGTCATTTTAAGGATGAAAGCTCGTTGAAAAGTTCAAGTCCATCTCAAAAGCACAGAGTTCCTTCCAGAATTTCCCAGCAAGCCGAAGATCTCAATCATTGACAACACTTCATAGAATCCCCCACAATTTCACAATATGCTTGAAGAATAAACGTGCTACTTCATCAACCTTACAGTCTGTAGGGGTCAGCATAAAGGTGGCACATTTGTTGAATCAATCAACCACTACTATGATACTTCCATACCTTTCATGCTTAGGGAAAGCAACAATAAAGTCCATTAAAACACTCTCCCATGGTCGCTCAGCAATTGAAAGAGGTTTGAGTAAACAAGCAGGATGCTGTTCTAACTTATCTTGTACTAGGCATGTCCTCATATATGTTTTGACATCACCTTGCATATGAGGCCAATAAAAGTAATTTTGTATGAGAGCAAGTATTTAGATCATACCTAAATTTTTAGCCTACTGTGAATCATGACATTCCTTAAACACTTCTCTGCTAAAATTGCCCCATTTTGGCATATAGACTTGGTCCCTGGGGGCGTATAGTATCCCATCATTCATTGAGAGCCTTTAAGTCTTGCCTTCATTAGCAAGCTTCACCAAGTCACTTGCTGTAGAGTCTTGAGACATACCTTCTTTAATTTAGCCAAGAAAGTCGTTCTGGGACATACTTGTTGTGAGAATAGCTAATTTGGCCTTTTTTTTAATACATCAGCCATCACATTCGCTTTACTTGGCTTATACTCTAGCGTGTAATCAAACTCAACAAGAAAGTCTTGCCAACAAGCTTACTTTGAATTGAGTTTCTTCTATGTTTGGAAGTAGCAAGTAGTGACACCAGGTTCAAAGGCAATGAATGATCATAGTCATTTTTTCTCTTTAGACCATTTAGCACCTCATTGTTTCATTTAGCTTACAACTCTCGATAAGCAATGGGGTGTCCTTCCTGCATCAACACACCCCCTATGGCGAAATTTGAGGCATTCACGTGCACCTAAAAAGGCTTAGCATAGTCAGGCAATAACATGACATGTTTTTGCACAACCAACTGCTTTAGTCTTTCAAAAGCATCCTAGCAATCTTGTGACCAATGCCAAGATATGTTCTTCTTGGGCAGGTCTATCAGTAGAGCAACAATAGTTGAATAGTCCTTAATAAACCAACGGTAGTAGTTCACTAAGCCAAGGAATGATCTTAGCTCAAGGATATTGGAGTTGTCTCCTCAACTCAACAAGTTTTAGAGGCAACATACGATAAGGTGCCAAAGCAAGCAATTTGGCACCAGACTCCAATTCAGAATGGCCACCATAGACTTAGTTTTAGAAATAGGAAAGGCACATGTTTTGCAGAAGAAAGCAAGTCCCAACACGACCTTAAAATCAACCATAAGGACTATGGTGAAGTTTAACATACCATGCCAACCTCCAACTTTCATCTTTACATCCTTAGCATTACCAATAATTGGTTTTGCTAAAGAGTTTGCCACCTTGATGGTGCCTTCTCCCTTGTTATATTAGATGCCCAACTGCTTGGCTTCTTCAGCCTCGATGAAGTTGTGAGTTGCTCTAGTATCTAGCATGGCAAGAGCATGCTTGCCTTCAATGGCAAGATTAGCATAGAGTAGACTCTTCTTGTCCTCCTAAGTTAGGGAGAAAAGTCCAGATAGTGCATTCAAGTGTTGCAAAGAATCAAGGTCGGCATGCTACTCCTTATCTAGTCTTTCCCTCATTTCTACAACCAGGGCATTCATAGCCTTACTGTTGGGACAGTTATGAGTCCAGTATGGACCATCACATATAAAGCATGGGTTTAGTGACTGAGAGATCTTGGTTGAGGATGGCTTATCCTGCTTAGAACTACCACAAAAGGGTTTATGGTTACCACTATCCTTACAATTGTGAGCCTCCAACTTTATCCCTCTTACTTTTTCTAGGATTGGGCTTCTTGATTAAGAACTCAGCAACTGCAATGGCTTCATCTAGAGTTTGCACTTTGTGCCTGTCAAGCTCTACTTTAGCCCCGTCTTTAAGCCCATCCATAAAGTGGAATAGAGCCTCCTTATGGAACAAGTCTTCAATCTCTACCATGACGGTAGTAAACTCTTCCATATAATCAAGAATATTACCAATTTGTCTCAACCTATGGAGCTTACCTCTAGCCTTTATTTTTGCATTGTAAGGAACAAAGTGTTTACGGAGTTCTAACTTGAGCTACTCTCAAGTGTTAGGAGTGCAAATGCCCTTCTCTCTTTCAGCATGCTTTTTACGCCTCTATAGTTGGACTACATTTGGCAAGAAAGTTGAAGTATTATTAATCCTAATCAAGTCATTAATTACTCCTATGGCCTCAGAGTATTGTTCTAAGCCAAAAAGAAAGTTCTCCACAACTATTACCATTATACATCTCTGGTTGAGGCACTTTCAAATCTTGAACAATGGTGTTCGAAGTACTACCACTTATAGGGCTACTTATGCAACGATAAGATTCTCATCTATCTAAGAGTGTAGACTAAGCAACTCATCCTCAATGTAATTGTGAAGGTTAGCAAGATTTTGAGTAAGAAAATGAAAATCTTTCCCAAAGTTGCAGCCAATTTCTTCAATCATTGTCTCAACAGCATGTGTTACCTCAGTATTTTCTTGGATGAGATTATTAAGCTAATCATCAAGTTCCCTCACACTAGTTCTCACATTCTCCACGTGAATTTCCAAGCTGCAACATGAGGTTCAAGAGACTCACCTGCTAGACCCTTACTCCTGCTTTGCTTAAACATAGTTTGAACATACTTCTCTTGTACACGAGCTAGCTCTTGCATCTCCATGCCAACAACATTTCCTTCCTCAGTTGCCGTCGTACAACACCTTCCTCCAAGAACAAAATTAAACCGTGCTTTGATGCCAACTGTTAAGACGCTAGTTTTTCAACCCATGCGGCACTTAAACCTTCTTTGTTTGAAAATCCTAAGTAACTTGATTTGTTGAGAAGGAAGATGTTTAGCAAAGTCAAGGGATGGAAATTTTGAGAGCAAAGGCTAAATGAAAGAACTTGGAAAATGTGAAAGTTGTATCACTTCAAGAACTCAAGGATCTCAAGAATGATTTCAAGGACAATTACAAATGAGGAAGGTGGAGGTATTTATAGACTTCCCATTGTATCTAGAATATTATAACCTCCTTAATGGACGGTGGAAATTAATTTGATCCTACGATTATCACAAGGAGTTCTGTAGAATCTTTCCAAGGCATTTAAGCTAGTGTTATCTACATTTCTCTAGAATTGTCTTCAACGCTCTAACTTTTTCAAGGTTATTCAAGAGTCTTCTAAAGGATTCCGAATCATTCCGGACCATGCTAACCTCTTGAAAATTCATGGAATGTGACATTAAAGAGATGATACAGAAACAGCTCATTCCACAAACGTAGAGATGATACAGAAACAGCTCATTCCACAAGGGCATATTTTTCAAGAAGTTATCTAAAATGGGCTGTTTCAGCAATTTCCCCCATACAGAATCAAATCAGTTAGTGCATCTGACATGGTTAACAAATACAAAGCACAAACTGCATTAGTAACCTCCGATAAAACCTGGCATGAAACATGAACAACAGCGGTTATTTAATACAGTCTAGGATACAAAACATAAAATAGTTTTGAAAATGAAACTGCAGGATAAATCCTCAAGTAATATGGGTGAGATGTTATTATGCAATTCCAAATTTACATAAAAACAATTAGTTTTATAGAACTTACAACTGGAACAGCAGGGTACAACCTTAAGGTCTCTGTCAGTGTCGCATGAAGATAATGCATTTTCTCAAGGGTATCTTCTGTTATATTGGCCACAAACTCATCAATGTTGGGTTTACCTTCCTGCGTGCGAGTGGCTTCTATCACTTCTTGTGCAACCTTCTCTTGGATGAGAGGGTGCTTGCAGAGCATGTAGAAGAACCATGATAGAGTGTTTCCAGTCGTGTCTTTGCCTGCAATCATGAAGTTCAGAATTATATCCCTTAGATACTGATCATTCATTGTTGGGTCCTTCTTGCTCTCCATCAGAAACCTCGAGAGTATGTCCTCTTTATCAATCTGAAAACCTCCCAAAAAAGTTTCAATTTAATCATCAGTTCAGAGAACTCTCAATAACAACACCTAAGAAAACTGTTCCACAAGACTAGCAGCAGTTTCATACTTCTTTGGGAAAGAGACAAGTGCATATTTTCTTAAAAGGAATTGAAGCAAAACAAACAGTAAATCATAACTACAAGGAAATGCTGTAATAAGAACTGCATCAGCATTATCGCATCCGTGATCAACTCACATGATACTGCTGATTAGCCAAGTTTTCTCTTTTGATGCTAATCACTCGATGCACAAAATCATCAATTACTTTGACATTTTTCTTGAGGTTAGCTTCACAACCAATGTTGATAAATTTCTTAATCTTCCAAAAGGGATCCACATAGCGCCAAGAAATTATAGCATTTGAATCATCAAAAGCCTTCATGAATTCAATCCCCTCTCTGCTTGATCCTCCTAAGCAATTCAGTTCCACTCCAAACCCGACTTTGAATATCGAATCCAAGGTGCATCTCATTAAGATATCCTACAGAGGGAACAAAACTTTATATATCTTGCCATGATGACATAAAATGATATTTGCAATTACAAGGGGAAAAAAACCAAGCATGGAAGCAGAACCATTTTTAATTGGGAAAATAACAATGAAGGATCACTGAAGAAAATTTATATGAGTCAAAGATTAATTGTTGTCAAAATCCAATAAAAGATTAACCCAAATCGATAGGTATTCATTTTGAGATATGGATTGATATAAATTTCCTCCAGCAGTCTTTGATTAATCTTTTCCCCTTTTTATTCCTATAATTAAAGATTACTATCATAAATCCCTATGATTTTAACGATTAGAATCACTTCATCAAAATATTATACTTGAGTTGAATTTCATTCATTCACAAAAATCATTTCCAACTTAAAGTTGACATTGCTGCCTTGTCATCTTTCAAAGACGTGAATTACAATCAACCCTGGAAGATGAAATTCAACATTCCTAGACAATATTTGGATGATTGAGGTTAGAATCAATTGAGGTTATAAGAAAAATATGTAACTGAGATTAGGAGAAAAACATGTGATTTTAAAGTGATTTATCTTTGGATTTTTTTTTCCATAAATTAATTGGATAAATTAAAATTTATTTAGATGATTTGATTCAAAAACAAGTTGAGATATATAATAACAAAAATAAATATGAATTGTCTCGTATATATTTTTGTAACTAATTTAATATTTTTTTAAAAAAATATTAAACTTAAAATTACAATGTTTTTAAAAAAAGTAGATAAAAAAATATAAAACACATTGATAAATAAAAAATCTTAATTTTTAAAAAGGTAAAGTGAAACAGTAAAATTTAAAATATTCAATTATAAAAAGTTAAATAAATTCCTAAATTACAAAATTTAATATGTAAATAGATAGAAAATATAAATACTGTGTGTACTTTTTCAAGAAAAAACTAATATATTTAGCATTATATGCTTAAGTCCCATTTAGTTACTAGAATGGGAGGAATTGAAAAAATTAATACAAAAATGAACTAAATCACTCTGTCCCTTTATGATAAGTATGTTAAAATTTATTAATATATATTACAAATGTAAGAATTATTACACCCTTCAAAAATATTATGAATAATGATTTCTAACTCCATAAATTAAATTGCCCTACTTCCTTATAAATGTAATTCACTGTCTCTTTTTATCATCTCATTTTTAACTTTAATTTTTCAATTTATTTCAGTCTATTCCTTTTTAATAACCAAACAAGACTTATGTGTTTGTTTTTAATTAAATTAAGACAGGTAAAACTTGTATAAATTATTTATTTTATAATAAATCTTTATTATTAACATTATTAATATACTCAAATTAATTTGTCTTAATTTAATTAAATAAAGTTAAATATATAAGTCTTGGACTTTCTTTTAATTATTTTTTCGACCAGCTCTTTTAATTATTAATAATTATTTTTTTTCTAAATTCAATATGTCCCTCGCTTCTCTCCCCGCAAACCCAGCACCGTTTCGCCCTCATCCCGAATCGCACATCACACTCTCATCCTCAGCCTCAATCTGAAATTTCTGAAGATCTCGACCTGTCCTCTGCGACGCCGCTGCAGACTGCTTGTTCAGTCGTTCTTCACTGCGCTCGTCTTCGGCGTTCTCCCTTCCTCCATTCCTAAATCCCGTCTCCCAGATCCACATCGTCAGACTATCTCTCGTCGGTGTTGCTGCTTAGATCTGTGCTCGTCTTCTCACGTGAGGTGAAGACTGAAGACAGAGCAAAGAAGAGATGAGTGGCGATCAGGAGGTGAAGACAAGAAGGAGAGAGAATCTGCCACCAACATTCTACCCACTGCCAGTCAAGAAGCTCACTCTCCCACCTTCGGCCCAAACGCTCGTTTAAGGTCTACTGCCCGATTCGTCTCCCCCCCCCCCCCAAAAAAAAAAAGATATATTGTACTTTTTACCTCACCCCAATCTCAGTTGAGAGGTAATCCAAACACACACCCAGGTGTCAATTTTAAACCAGACAATCAAATGAGACTAGGTCATAATTCATTGCCAAAATCATAGTATGAAAATGAGGTTCAATCCAAACGGTTCAACTGAGGCATGAACCTTGACTCATTGCCTTGACCGGTTCAAGGATAGTTTCTCAGTTTTCACAAAAACTTGATGGTAGGGATGCTATATTTCACCCTTCTAAACTGTAGTGTTTGGAAGAGTGATGTTTAGGTAGATAAAGAACAATAAGTTTCACGCTTCTGAAATTTATAGTATAACCTTTGAAGGACTTCAAAGGATCTCACAATGAAGTCTCCACTCAAACTCAATAACCACTTAAAATTTCCGGGAAAATGATCAAACAATTACCTGCATATCAAAAGCCACACTCTCGTTAGAGAATCCTGAAATAACTCTAACCAATTTGGCGGCGTTCGTTCTGAAAGCAGAGCAGCTGAAATCCCTAAGAACCCTTGTGGAGAACTCGTAGCTCGCGAGCTTCCTCTGCTGCTTCCACATTTCACCGTTGACAGCGAAAATCCCCCGCCCAAAAAGATCAATCATAAGATCCTCATCGCGCTTGCCCTTGTTGTACTTGCTGAACTGGCTTTTCAGAATGTGCTCGACATTTTGCGTGTCGGCGGTGTACAGTTCGCTGAATCCCGGACCCAGAAGCCGAAACGTGGGCAGAGTTTTGGCCACTTGCGTCTGGTGGTCAAAGAGGGTACTGAAGTAGAAGAGCTGGTGGAAGACGGTGCCTTTGACGGGGGCATATTTTGGGTCTCCGATGGACTTGCCGGCGTAGAGGGAGACGAGGAGGAGAAAAGAGAAGATGAAGAAGAGACCCAGAAATGAAACGAATGTAAAGGTCAAGAGGGTGAAGAGGATTTCCATTTCTGGGCTTTGGTGTTTTCAGACCATGATTTTGTTTTGCTTCCGTGTTATGTAAATTGAAGACCGTAGCCAAAACTTGCTAGCCGAGAAGCTCCCCACTCATCCCCCACCCCCCCCCCCCCCAAAAAAAAAAAAAACAAAACAAAACAAAACATTCTGTACTCATCACTGTAATAAAAGGGCCAGGACTCCATTTCAACTTAAAATAATGTCTGTCATTTTTTAAAATTAATTTTTAAATATTTTTAATATTATATATATTAAAATAAAAAATATAAATTTTAATATTAAATTTAAATTATTTAAAATACATTTAAATAATTAATTTATAAAATTTATAATTTTTAATATTAAATTAAATCATCTATTATGTTTAAACTATTGAGAGTTTATCTAGATAATTAAATTATAAAATTATAAAAAATTTAGTATTAAATTAAATTGTTAGATTAAATTAATATTGACCAAATTAACAATGATCAAATTTATTAAAATTTTAAAAATTTTTATATTTTTATATTAATAAATATAATATTAAAAATATTTAAAAATTAATTTAAATGAATGATAGAAATTAATTTAAATTAAAATGAAGGACCAAAATTGCTTAAAGATCCTGACAAGCATGTGATGCCCACCGAATGCAAATCCTTTGGCACGGCACATGGCTCGCTTTGTTTTGTGGGTTTTCTTTTTGTTTTTGTTTTTTGTGAGATAGAAATATTTTGTTAATAATAAACACGACCTCTCTCGATGTAAAAGTAAAAGTTTATCTCTGTCAACAACTCAATTTTGGTTTATGTTTCAAATTAAATTTTAAACTTTCAACTTAATTTTTTATGACCGAGAAAAATGAAAAATACAACGGAGACAAGCTCTGATGATGCGATCTTCTTCGTGTTTCGATTTCATTGTCGCCCCGCAACTTATTCTCCTTCGTGTTCAATCATGCTGAGACAGCGGTGCCTCTGCCTCAGAACAACTTCATGTTGCCTCACCGATTCCTCCTCTTCGTGCTCAAACTTCTCTTGCTTTTAATTATAATTATAAATTGATATATTTTGTATGTTCAGTCACCATTTCCAGTTCTTCTGTGTGCATCACGTGAGTGCATGCATTTTTTTTCCTTTAATTTATATTCTTTTTTTAATCCATTTTCTTAGGTAGGCAAATATATTTTAAAAAATAAATGTTCTCTGGAAACAACAAAAGTACTAGACATGTTAAAGACGTTGACTCTCAAAAGATAACAAACAATTTCTAATCTCTTTTATCACAATTTACTTAAAAGTCAAAATGTAATGAAATTGAAATGATAAGCTTTTGATTAATACAAAATATGTAAGGTAAGAGATTGCAGAGGTTATAAAACTAAAACTAATGTTAAAAATTACTTGGAAATACAAACTAAAATGTTAAAATGAATATTGAAAGTCGATTGTTGTTAGGATCCTTTTTCATGTGACTTTTTCTTCCTTTTATAATGATTCAGCTAAAGTAGTTGCTCCCACAGAACTTGTTCATGATATATTAGGGATTCAATAGCACGGCCCGTGAAATTCATGGCATGATACACCATATTTACTTGATGGTCTCATACGTGTATCTTGAGTCTTAAGGGTTAAGTTAAACTCATGCATAACACGCTTCTTCTCGTGTAATGCTAGCCCATGTCCCCAAAAAATCTATAGATAAGGGTTGTGATATTGCAAAAATCAAGGCTTGTTAAGATCAGGGTCTCATGTGAGATAATAGTCTAAATAGTAGTTTTGAGTTTTAAGGAATTCAAAGACCCAAGCTGATTTAATTAAGTTATTTTACCATGATGTAAACCGGCCTTAATATTATTGAATCTCTTGCTGGACCTGACGCTTCCTTCACTTGGCCCATTTTTTGCTTTAGCCGTTGTACTCTTTTGAATAGACACCATTTCAATTTCACCGTAAACAATAGGTTAAAGTGTAACTTTAATCTTCTAATTTTATATAAGAATTTATTTTAATCTCTTAATTTTATAGTGTATTTTTTTAGTTTTTTAATCCTAATTTTATTAGTTTATTATTTTTTAATCAAACATTGATATTTTAAAAAAAAAAGTATTGTTGATACAAAAATAGGCTGTAGTCTTTGTAGTACAAAGATGGGGCGCACCACATTCTCGCCGTTGGCATTCCTGTTGAGTTGCCAAATAATTCTTTAGTCTTATTTATAGAGTGAAAAAAAAAATTTTAATCTTATTTATAGAATATTTTTAATTTTTAATTATCTTTTTTATATCTTTATTCTTATTAAATACTTTAAATAAAAATAATAGTAATAAAATTTAAGAATATTTATTAAAAATAAAGGTAAAAATTTGTTAAATTTTATAATAAAATTAATTAGATTTAAGGTTTTTTTTATTTTTGATAAAATACATTAAAAATAATTTATAAATAAAGTCAAAGAGAGAATGAACTAGACTCCTAGGTAATGTAGGTTCCCAAAGTGCATGAAATATATATATATATATATATATATGGACAAACTACGTACAAGAACCTTATAAATTTGGGCAAACAAATTATATATAAATCCTAAACAAGAAACTTATTTATAAACAAGTCACGGGCATTTTTGCAAATGTGCATTCAAATTCTTTGGGTCCTGGTTATAATTTATTATGTGTGTACAAATACCGCACTTCCCCGACTTCATACTTATCTATTTGTAAATTATAGAATTTCAGTTATAAATTACAATATATCAATTGTAAATTCCTGAGGATCGCTTATAAAAATTAAAAGAGAATGACATTTTAGTAGGTTTATGTTTATAAGTAATAACTTATCTTCACGAATTTACAATTAAAAAAATCAGAATTTACAAATTAAATTTTGCATGACAATTTAACAGGAATAGAGTTAGGGCAGTATAGATTTTTCACACTCATGGCAAATTCACAGGGAGATTTGGCTTTACTTTTACAAAATCGTATAATTTTTTTTAACAAAAAAAATTTATCATTTAGAACTAATATGTAATTTTCTCCGTAAATTCATAACTAATTATATCGATTATATACACACACACACATATTTGACACCCATCCTGGAATATGATGCACTCACGTTTGTTGCCCGTCCTAATGATTAGCATCGCGTGCTCATCAGTCAAAGGGTTGATCTAGACTATTTAATTTATCTTAAAATAATTTTTGCCATTTATTTAAAATTAATTTTTAAATATTTTTAATATTATATTTATTAAAATAAAATTATAAAAAAATATTAAATCTCTACTGTCTAAAATATATCTAAATAAAAAATTTATAAATTTATAAAAAAATATTATTAAATTATATCACCCAAATTATATATGTAATGTTCCAAATATACCTAGATAATCAATTTAGAAAATTAAAATAATTTAATATTAAATTAATCAGTTCAATTAAATTTGTATTGGTTAGATTGATGATAAATAAATTTATTAAAAAAATTTAAATTTGATAAAAATAAAAATAAAAATAAATTTTTTAAGCTGAATAGTTCAGACTTCATGGAGATGAATAATTTAGTGCTCATCCCCTAATGAGTATGAAAACAATCTAGATTTAATATTAAATTTTTTTAATAATTTTTATAAATTATTATTTTAATAAATATAATATTAAAATACTTAAAATTAATTTACAAATGAATGACAGAAATTATTTTGGGATAAATTAAAAAGTTGATATTAACTATGGGACTCTCATAACTCAAATGTGATACGCATATCGCATTTGATATTATGAGATGCATAAATGTTTCAATTTTTGAAGTTTGGACTTGGACCGGATGATTCCTAGGATGATTGTGTCAGAACAAGAAATCAAGGTCATGGTCAATGCATGCAAAGTTCATTACTAGCAAATGAAGAATAAAAAAGATGGATCTCATACGATATTTTTCAGTCTGTGTTTTTTGAAGAATTTTTTGCCCTTATGATACTTTCTTGAATAGAATAAAATAGTAATGTAACTTTTAATATCTCAACTTTACTTTAATTATCAATTTAATCTTTTAAATTTAATTTTGATTGAATTGGTTCTTTAAGTTTTCTTAAATTATTATATTAATCATTTTAAGTTTTAAAATACAAATTAACTATCAACTTAATTTAATGTATAATTGTTGGCACGGTTTCTGGGGATTGGGTTAGAGCATCACACCCTTTAGAGGTGTGCCAAGTATGAGAGAGGAGCATGTCCATAAAAACATGAATTGTATCAAACAATCAGGTAAGTTCTCAAGATCCTTTACCATAATTTTCTTAGGGAGTTAAGTAAATGCAAGAAATTATAAGTATGCTAAGTGACACATAGAACTTGATTGTGTTATGGATACATTAATATGATGGGTGCTTCATGGAGATGGAGAAAAAAATGAGAAATACAAACTAGCCTAAGAAGCCAAGCTTGCATAGACGAAGCAACTCACACTAAGCGAAATTGGTTGACGCAGGGTCAAAGTTGGTGTTTTGCTCTAGGCAAGTTTGGGTAAGTTTCACATTCTGTCATGCGTTTACTGCTTATTTATAAAAAAAAATGACAATTGTGTGCTCCTTTTGAATTTGAGTTTGGAGCTAGAAGGAGTAGATAACAGTTCACGCCATTATATGGCCAAGGGTGTGCCTCATCTTGTGAAGTAGTGAGAGCGAGTATGTTGAGAAATTTGGGTAGTGGGGAGAGTGGGCAAGACTACGTCCTTGACTTCCTAAATGCAACATTCCACTTACACTTATGGGGTCAATTTGCTATTAAGTTAAGTCTCTTCTAAAATTGGATTGGGCTTCGGGTAATTATCACTATAACATTCGAAGTTTTTCTATTAGTAATTATTAGTGTTTTTGAAGGGGTAATAAAATTAATTTAGATAAATTATTAATTTACGAGGTTTATGGGAGACTAATCTAATTTTTGAAGCCTTGGACAGCTTTAGAAGAGGGCTAGGCTAATGTTCAAGTGAGCTATGGCACGGAAGGGAGTTTAAAATTTTGTGAAATTTTTTGTGCCATGCGCCGCGGTGAACGTGCAAAATCTGCACTTATCAGACGTGAAAAACAGATCAAAAATAG